GAAGCTCCGGGGCTGCATTTTGACTCGGGGCTTCACCCGATTTCCTCCGCAGTTTCGTGATCCTGGTTTTTGAGGATCATGAAACTGCGGAGGAAATCGGGCGAAGCCCCGAGTCAAATGCAGCCCCGCAGCCTCGGGTGTGAAATTTACATGTTTGTGTTGGGGCAAACGGCGCTGTGCTGCGAGGAAGCTCTAGTGAGAAATCGCCCAAATACTAGCCAGGGCCGATCCTACTTAACTTCTGAGATTTGAAAAGATCATGATAGCCAACATTTATCCACATACCTTATATAGGTAAGTTGCTTTAGAGCTCTAAACACTACCATTTTCATGGTGCCCCACATTTTTAATAACTATTCTGGTTGATTAGGCAAGGATCACGTCTTCCAGGATCGCGCAAGCAAAATTCTAGCTGTAGTTAAGAGGTTTAAGCAATAGTTCCCGATGAAAAACTTGCGGCACCTCTGCAAAAATGAAGCAACAACACAAAAGCTCTGGTTGAATGAGAAGAGCAATAACCCGGACCTCTGAATCATTTTTCCAATAAAATTTCTTCCCTGCGACAACCCCACCACGTGTGGTGAACGTTGACTTTCCAAGTCACTAAAAATAGAGAGCCCTCAACTGAAATAAATTTGCATTGTTTGGAACTTGAGTCATACCTAATGTTCTTTGGCTGTTTTTAGTATGATCTAAGGCTGCGATCACACGCACAATTAGCCCCGCCATAGGCGCAAATGCCGGGTGGATTTAAAGGGTGTGATCAGACACAAACATCTGGGAAGCCCCCCACACCTGTTGGCAATCCGTTTTGCAATAAGTGGAGTAAAAAGACACTGGGGGAAATCTGGCAGTAAATGGGTTGTGATGGGCCATGGACAGAGTTTCCCGTGTCTGATCGCTCCAGCGCACTCTCATGGCGTCGGGATCAGGCCATCCCAACTCTGTGCCATTGTTTCCCCCCCCCTTCTCAGTATGCGCATCATCGCACACTCCATAGGGAGACCTCAGTACGGAGATGTGATTCCGCAATTCCCAGTTTAAGCAAATCAGAAACAAATGGCTACCCCCCCGACTCACCCGCGGTTGCATCTGATCATGCAGTGGCGGGCTGCCCCTGCAGCTTTAAAGGACTGTGTGATCGTGCAACTGTGGGTCAAATTCCTCCGGAGGGAATAGCCTCGCTCCCCCCCCCCCGGTTTATCTGACGTGTGTGACTGCAACCTAAGTCTCAGTCTGAGTAAACAATACATCCGTGAGAATGGCTGACAGTTAACTGCTATTATTATTTGCACAGCTACCTCCAGACAGGGGACAAGAGACCATAGCATCAGTTTAACTAGTTTAAATAGCCAATCTACACCATCACTATTAAATATGCTAACATACACATGGCTGCCTTTGTTGGGCAAATCCACCCTAGCTCCAACCTCACCCAGTAGCTGCTGCCTGCCTTGTTAATCCTCACATGTGCATGAAGTGGTGACAGGTGCCAAGCCCCGACCCCCTTCCCTGATGCACCACAAAACTACTACCAGTTTTGGAAACACATTGCTCAGCACCAAAGGCATTCATTCCCAGACCCTGTCCAGCCATAAAGCCAGTGAAGGTCTGTTCAGGGCATGCTCTCCATCTCGCCCAATGACTCATCGAGGAATTTCAGACACACGATATATTCTGGAAGAGGAACGGTTCCCAAACGGTTTCTGGTCTGTCATTTCAGACAGAACCGTTTGAGAACCGGTTCCCTTCCGGAATATATTTGTCATTTCATACACAATCACTTCTGTCCCGTTTAGGAAACGGGGCTGAAGCATTTTACCTGTCAACCACTTCCAAGTACTCCTCAGTTTCCTCTCCCGGTTCCGATGCACTTTTTCCCGCCGTTTTTCGCCCACGCGGGCGATCTCCGGCTTTTTTTTTTTACGTTTACTTTAGAGCGCTATAACACTTTAACGGAATAGCATTATATCAATCCCATTGGAATGCATGAAGTGTTTTGTTATACTGCTATAGCGCTATAGCGCTCTAAAGCGAACGTTAAAAAAAAAGCCGGAGATCGCCCGTACGGGCGAAAAACAGCGGGGGATAAGCGGGTAAAAGTGGTGCAGTCTGAAATGGCAAACCGCTTCAGATCCAGCTCTTTACCGGAAGATGAAAGCCATGTGTGAAATGGCAGCCCTATACCAGTTCACTTCAAAACGGATCATTACCGGTTTGAAATCGGGTGAAACTGGGTAATGTGAAATTCCCCATCATGATTTTTGAGACAACACCAGATTTGCACTATAGAGAGTAGTTCAGTGTACAATTAGTTACTGGTGGCCCACTTTGTGAAACTTTATAACATTCTTTCAATACTTTGCAACAATTTGGAGTGAATGTAGAAGCTGACTTAAGAACTCAGATATTCTGAACTTGATATTTTACAATATTATGTTATTCCAGAAGAAGATATCCAAAATGAAGATAATAATCTGGAGACTTCGTTGAATGAATGAAAACTAGACACAATCAATTTTGCATTATGCATTGTATCTTTATTTGCTTAATGAAAACTTTCTAGATTGTATTAGCATTGTCGTACACAGTTGTTTTCTGTCTTGATTCTCCAATCAGTCAAAGACCAGCTTAATTTATTTTAATACCCACCACCCTTCAGTGACATCATGAAGCAGGCAAAAAAGGTCCCCCGTCAGCCAATCTGGGGGAACCTAAAAAATCCCTACGTGTCCCTTTAAAGAGAGTCTGGCTAAGACCGTGATAACCCATCAGAGGGCGGGTGGGTCAGTAGCACACAGCAAATGCCTGCTTGGGAGGTATGTAGCTTGCCCAAGTAGCTAAACTGCCACCCCTCCCCAATGACTGGAATATTTCCAGCCTTGCCCAACACTGCCCCATTTCTAATTTGGACAAAGGGATCAGGGCAAACATATCCACAGTTGCCAACGCCAGGAATACCACTTGTTCAAACTGCATCCAACTCCTCATTTTCCTGTCTTTTCACAAAGAGAACACAAACCTTTTAGCTTTAGATAAGCTAGGGCTAGGAGCTGCGGTGGCTCAAGTGGTTAAGACACTGAACTGCAGGCTGTAGAAGGTCAGTAGTTCAGCAGTTCAAGACCCGAGTTGCGGCATGACGGAGTGAGCTCCCATCTCTAGTTCCAGCTCCTGCCAACCTAGCAGTTCGAAAGCAAGAAATTGCAAGTAGATAAGTAGGTACCACTTCAGTGGGAAGGTAACAGCGTTCTGTGCGCCTTGGTGTTTAGTCATGCCGGCCACATGACCATGGAAACGTCTTCGGACAGTGCTGGCTCTTCGGCTTGGAAACGGAGATGAGCACCATAACCCTTGAGTCGGACTCGACTGGCTTTTGAGCAAGGGAAACCTTTACCTTTTTAAGCTAGGGCTGGGGCTTTATGTCTTTCGTTTGAACACATAGCATCTGAAGGGATTGTTCTATTACCACTGATCAGGTCTACGTATCGACCAAATCTAAATCTTTCCCCTTTCTTAAATCAATTTGATTCCTCACTTAGGATAAACTCCCTTTCTCTGATGACTTGTGCCAATGT